TGGCTCTCACATCCTTTAGGAAAGCAGCTTAGTGTGCTGAAATTAAAGGGAAATGTATTTAAATGTTGTAAAGTTATTTTCAGTATGCTATAGTGTATGTGCATATGCATATCTCTCTCTCTCTCTCTCTCTCTCTCTCTCTCTGTGTGTGTGTGTGTGTGTGTGTGTGTGCGCGCGTAGCTTGTGCCACCTTGGCATTTTATAATTCTTGTTGTGCCTAGAGTGCTTTCACCACCCTGGAAAGACTTTTGGGGGAAGTGAAGGCCATTTCCTAGGGCCTTATTATTTCTTCCATGAAGCTGACATTCAAGGTTGCCTGTTTTGTCTTCTTTCTTCCCCACTGTGGTTTTTTCCTCTCCTGAGCACAGGTAGCATTGATTGCCCGTAAGCTGTTCAGCTGCCTTCAAAGCACTCTGCTCCTGGCAGCTTCTTCCCTGTGCATCCTGAGCTGTACGCAGGATTCCGCTGCGGAAGGATCCTGCCTCCTTCCGTCCTTGCTGAGGCTCATCATCTCCCCGGCCTTCTCCAGTTGTTGCTTCTTAATGTCAAAGTCCTGAGTCGTGGAAGGGGTCCAGGGACAGATTCCAAAGTGCACGGCATCTAGTCTGATCTCAAATCCACAAAGCCAGCTGTCTTCCCATCTTGGCAACGAGTGCTATACAAATAGTGAGATGCTGTCTGCCCTTTCCCTGACTGCAACCATTTCAACAAGAGAATGTTGCCTCTAAACTGGTATGTGTGTACACACACACACACACAGCAAAAGAATTCTCCTTAGAAAGCTGTTTATCTCCAACAAAACACTATCCCCATTCTACTGACTTCTTTTGTAGTAGCATGTTATCAGCTGCTCAGGGAACGCAGACTTGTAGCTTCACTCTTGTAGATACCATTTTATCGTCTCAAACTTGGCATCTACTGAGCTGTTTGTGTCTCCCCTCTGCCATCTGGGATGGAGGAGTTCCAGGTGAGATCCTGAGAGACAGGGAGGAAGTGATGAGCATGCCATCTTGACCCTGTTGTGCAGAAGTTCTTGGGATAATAGTTGAGGCCATAAACATAATCTTATGTTAGTTCACAAAGTTTGTCCATATCCCAGTGTGGTGTGATGAATACAGTGCTCTCCATGTTATATCTGGGGAAGTTGAGCCCCGAGGGATATGTATGTAAGTATGTATATATGTATGTATGTAGGTTGGTAGGTATGTATGTAGATAGGTATGTATGTATGTAGGTAGGTAGGTGGGTAGGTATGTATGTAGGTATGTTATGTATGTAGGTAGGTAGGTGGGTATGTGTGTATGTATGTATGTATGTATTAGGTATGTATGTATGTAGGTAGGTAGGTATGTATGTATATAGGTATGTATGTATGTAGGTAGGTATGTATGTATGTAGGTTGGTAGGTATGTATGTATATATGTAGGTATGTAGGAATGTATGTATGTAGGTTGGTAGGTATGTATGTATGTATGTATGTATGTATGTATGTATGTATGTAGGAAGGTAGGTAGGTAAGTAGGTATGTAGGTAGGTATGTATGTAGGTAGGTAGATATGTATGTATATATGTAGGTATGTAGGAATGTATGTATGTGTGTAGGTAGGTAGGTAGGTATGTAGTTATGTATGTATGTATGTAGGAAGGAAGGTAGGTAAGTAGGTATGTATGTAGGTATGTAGGTAGGTAGGTAGGTAGGTAGGTATGTATGTAGGTAGGTAGATATGTATGTATATATGTAGGTATGTAGGAATGTATGTATGTGTGTAGGTAGGTAGGTAGGTATGTAGTTATGTATGTATGTATGTATGTAGGAAGGTAGTTATGTATGTATGTATGTAGGAAGGTAGGTAGGTAAGTACGTATGTATATACAGCTAGCTATCCAAGGAAAGGTCGAGAGTATGAAATGTAGTGAGTGATGACTTCTGTACTATAAATACACTGGTCTCCTCTTACTCAGTGGCCTGCTTTCCATGGTTTCAGTTACCTGTGGTTGACAACAGTCCAAAACATTAACTGGAAAGTTTCAGAAATAAATAGTTGTTAGGTTTTTATTTGCTCACCTAGCATGTGGATCAACCCCTTATCCAGAGTATCTACTGTGTATACACTACCTACTCACTAGTCTCCAGAGCCTGCTGGTTATTTAGATAACCTTCTGATTTAGGTCATTATAAAATAAGGCTTCTTCTGACTTACAGTTCTAAGGGCTGGAAGTCCTGGGCTAGGCAGCTACATCTGATGGGGGCTTGCATTGCGTCGTCATGTGGTAGAAAGTAGAAGGAGGAGGGAAGGCATGAAGGATGGACTCCAGTAACCTGCTTTTGCTAGATGGACTCTACTACCATGAGAAACACAGTCTCTGCTCTGACCTGTTAAAGGTCCAACTGTCTCCCAGCCTTGACACAAAATCAGTGAAATCTCATGTCAATCTTAGGAAAAATCGTGTTCAAACCACAGAGCCTTCCAAATGGACTTCTTGATTGTAGAATGGGACCCCACTCTGTTATTGAAGATGCTGCAGTTCACTAAGGATGAGAACACTGGCTTTGAAGTCAGTGGCCTGTGATCTCATCCTGCCTTAGGAGGTCTGACAAGTCGCTCTTACCTTTATCCCCTTGCTTGGAAAGCGAAGCATTGATTTCATAGGTTCATGATGAAGAATAAGTGAGATAATATTTGTACATCACAGACTCCAAAAGGGTATGCGTTAGCATGTACTTGGTAGTTACCAGTAGGTGTGGCACACAGAGAATTTTACCTTTCTCTTTTGCCCATTCAGATTGAGTATTGAACTGGTAAGTGTTTAACAACAGCTCTTCCAAAAGAAAAGGCCTGAGTCATACTGTTTGCCTATTTCTGTGGTATAGATATTCCCTTGGGGCTGATTTCAAACTACCTCAGTTACAGAACGTGGAGCTGGGAAGACACATGCTCTTAAACACTGGTACAAACCCACATCAGCACACCACTGTTTTTGAAAACTGTGCATCCAATGCTTTGATTTAGGGATAAATTAAGAGAGAGACTACTGAATAGCTAGCATTATGCCTGGCACATTAGTTTTCTACCCTCTCTGTTTTCTCTTTCTCATCCCTGGCCCTTATTACTCTAATCAAATAGCACACTGACCTTGAACACCAGCCGTGTGAAGTGTCTTGTGTGTCTGGGGGGGGGGTCTTCTGGAATCTAAGACCTTTATTTTGCATCAGCCAGGTATGTATCTTGCTTCCCAGACCCTGGACAGCCTGCAGAGGAGCCCTCAGGTTGGCTTTCTGAGGCATAAGCAAGTAGACATGCAGGTCTTCTTACAGGAGATGTGCTCTGAGCAGGGCCGTACAAAGCCAAAAGAGCTGCAGAGAGAATGCAAGAGCATTTTCTTTTGATGAAAGGCCTGAGGGGATATACATTTAGGAGACCGTAGCCTGGAACCAGGCTAATCACTGCCTCCTACAGTGACCCAGTAGAGGGGTGTGTGTGTGTGTGTGTGTGTGTGTGTGTGTGTGTGTGTGTGTGTGTGTGTGTGTGATTAGTGAAATCTTTCTATTCCTTCGTAACTTAGTCTATTACAGAAGACTTGTAAGGCCACTCAGCCTCATTCTCATCCAGTAAACAAGGCTTAACCTTTACAGACATGAACCTGGGTAGAAACTGTCCTTGAGATAGTTTGCTGTGAGTAAAGATCACCAATAATTCTTACCAATACTTTTGTGGAGCTGGGAAGATTCCTCAGTGAGTAAAGCGCTGCCAAGAAAGCATTAGAGTCTATGCTCCATCTCTAGACCCCACATAAGAAGCCAGGCATTGTGGAGTGTTTGTGACCCCAGCATGCGGAAGGTAGACAGGCACATCCCAGCAGGACAGCTGGGTAGCCAGCCCACCCTATAAGCTCCAGACCAATGAGAGTCCCTGTCTCAAAAGGCGGGAGGGGGAGGGGGGAAGGTTTATGGAGCCTTAGAAATGACACTCAGGTTAGGTTGACCCCTAGTCTCCACATGCATGCAGGTGTATGCACACTGATGTACACACACCCGCACACACGCACACATGCGCACACACACACGCACGCGCACACACACTAAGAATAAGCAACTTGGAAATAACAGTGAAGCAAGAATGGTGTTGGTGGTTAACCCTCAGAAGGTGGTGTGCCCCTTGTATGAACTAAAGTCCCATCTTCCCACCTGCCCACTGTGTTCTGTAGCTCAGGCCAGATCCTACACCTGCTGGGCCCATCACAGACTCTGTCTCCCAGCCTCTGCTCTGGGGCTTTCTCTTGGATGCTGACTGATAGAGCCCCTCTGAGGACCCTGGCAGAGGTATGTACTCAGACAGAAGTAGAAGTGGACAGGCCAGTCCCCACGGGGATGAATGACACCCTGTAGGTACGCACAAGTTAAAGATGCACTTCAGCCTGGATCCCCGCACGGGACAACAGTGCTGGCTCCGTGACTATAGAAACAATAGGGCTGTCTGGGAACAGCATGAAGAGCCTGGACTTGCTGAAAGGCAGCCTTTAGGCTGTTCATCCTTTGGGTGGTTAGCTGCCAGGAGCACCAGGAGCTCACCCCATCCTTCTGGCCTGAATTTGGGGGAACTGCCATATGTTGGGGTGGGCTTCTCAGTTAAGATACAGGCTGAATCTGGTAAATAGGCTAGCCCATGAGGGAAGTGTAGCAGGGGCTCCTTCTTGCATGTGTTGTCAGAGCCCAGGAGACTCACCTGGATCCCGTCAGTGAAGAAGTAGGTGGTGTGCAATCCTCTGGGTTCTGCTACTCAGTGCCCATGGGATGTGACCTTAGGTTTCCTCGGAACTGGCCTTTATATGTTTCACAGCTTCACTGAGAATGCCATACAAATCTCCCATTTAAAGTATGTAAGTCCACGCTTTCAGTGTCTTGCAAGTGTTACCAGTAGCAATCTTAGGAAATTTCCATTGTCCCCAGTAAGCCCTTACCTCTTATTCATGTCTGCGTCCTTTTCCTTGGATGTTCCCAGGGTTCATCTGTGTTGCAGCATCCCTCATTCCTGTTTGTAGATGGACATTATTCTGTATTTTGTTTATCCATCCATCAGTTGATGGACATTTGGGTTCCTACTTATGGCCTACTATGAAACACACTGCTGTGAGGTCTCATGGACAAGTTGAATGTGGACAAAGTCATTATGTCTCAGGTGAATGCCCCATCACTGATTTTTTTTCCCCACAGTAGCTTTCTAATTGCTTTGTATGTCTGCTTCAAAACACTCAACTGCTTTCCATTGTTCTTAATATCAAGATCAAAATCCTTACCTTAGTGTGCACAGCTGTCGCTTCTGGGCCCTTGACAGCTTCACTGCAGTCGCTTCTTTGTTCTACCCAAGCCACGAGAGCAATGTGCAGAACCTCCTTTCTTGGCTTAAACTTTGAGCCACTGCCCTCCTCTAGAGGGGTTTCTGCAATCCCTCATGCTAAGGCCTCAGCTTACCCACCCTCCTCTTCAGATGAGGCTTACCTGTCACTCTTTCTAAGACAATAAAGAGTTGATTTCTTATGTGTGTCCTGCAAAAATCTGTCCCTGAAAGTAATTCCAAGAGGCAGATGCTCACCTTCTGAGACTCAATTGCTTTTTTTCTCCGCACAGATATGCATTTGTTTGGCCATTATCCGGCACATGATGACTTCTATCTGGTCGTGTGCAGTGCCTGCAACCAGGTCGTCAAGCCACAGGTCTTCCAGTCACACTGCGGTAAGCACACTCCTGCACCTGGTGGATGCATGGGCAGCCATTGACCCTGGGCTCCCCTCTGGGTGGCCGGGTGTCTGTCTCAGTCCAGGGCTGTGGGTATACTCGCCTGGGGTTGCTGCTTCCGCACACAGAGGAGCTGGTAGGAGCTCAGTCCTCTTGCTCACATGCTCGCCCTCGTCCGTGCAAACAGGAGAAAGTCTGCAGCAAGCAGTAGTAGATGGGACTAATCTGAAACTGTTGTGTAACCTGGTGGTAGCCTCTGATGATGGCCAAGAGGAGGGGAGGAAAGTGGCTGGAGGAAGCACTTCCCTACAACCTGCCATCCCCACCCCCAGGGAGGCACATGGGAGAGACCCCCAGATTTACACACATAAGGTAGGGCTGGAACTGCAGGTGGCCATTGTGTGTGGCATTGGATGCTGCTCCCAGGACGTAGATGAAACCTCCCATCCTGCTTGTCCTTTCAAGAATCTCTCTTACTATTTTTTTGTTTTTGTTTTTGTTTTTGTTTTATGAGACAGGGTTTCTCTGTATTGTTTTGGAGGCTGTCGGTCCAGCCTGGCCTCGAACTCACAGAGATCTGCCTGCCTCTGCCTCCCAAGTGCTGGGATTAAAGGCGTGTGCCACCACTGCCCGGCTCTCTTACTATGTTTTTAAAGTGTGCTTAAGAACTCATTTTCCCTGAGTTCCTTAGCATCCCAGCTGTGAGGAATTCCTGGACTCCATCAACAGCAAACGGCGTATTTCACTCAATACTGGTGGACAGGAGGACAAAGAGAGGCCATGTGGCCACTCCTAAACACCTCTCTGACCTTAGACAAGAAGTCATTTACTCTCTCTGGGTGACTGTTTCCTTATTTTAGCCAGGAGTTAGAGCAGATGATTTCCACAGCTGTCATGTGCTGTGTGAGCCCAGGGCCGTGTATTCCGGTCTTATTTAACCATGACCCCTTTGGTGAACAGGCCCTGAGTGCCCCTCTGCTGTTGTTTCCAGAGCATACTCAGTGTGACTCTTGAACAAAAGAAGCAGTTACAATGTTGAATGTGCTCTTGTAAATGACCACAGTTCCCCTTCCTCAGTGTGCCCCCATTTCCCTGTCCCTTGTAATGTTACCACGCTGTGACAAGTAGTCGTGAGACAAAAGAATTCAATGTGTTTGGGACAGTAGAGTAGCCGAGCATTGTTAATATGTGTCTGTGATATCTACATATAGATAAAAGCTGTGTGCCAACAATAGGTGTGGTTTATGTTTATAATGAGTAGGCAGAGAGTCCATGCTTTGAGGGGTGGGGCACTGTCTTGAGTTAGTCCAAGACTGGCTGGGAAGAGAAGGGGTTCTATTAAATACTATACTAAGGACCTGGTGAGAGGCAGGGTCCAGCTTTGTATTTCTTTGTCTCCTCCATGAGGAGGTGCCGTACGTGTGTGTGTGTGTGTGTGTGTGTGTGTGTGTGTGTGTGTGTGTGTGTACATGTTGGCATGTTCATTTTGGGTGCTGTGAGTATAAATGCATTGAGCATGCATCCAGTACAAGCAAATGACCCTCTTCTGGCGGAAGAGAAATAAGGTCACACCTTTCTGATGCTACTAAGGGAGGCTACAGGTAAAGCATTAAAAGTGTGGATCTGGTCATTCAGTGAAGGTCTGTGGGACATTGTTCTGTGTGTTTGATGAGCGTGAGGACTCTAGCTTGTCCTGAGCGCTCATCATCCGGTCATTCCCAGGACTGAGCTGCTGCTCAGGACACACGGGCAAAGCTGACACTCCACTGTAACCTGACACCATAGCTAGGGACTTAGTTTGCCAGCAGTCTTTGATGGAAGGATCCAGAGAGGGATGAGGATGTCAAAGAATCCTCTCACCAGCAGAGAAGTGTGGTGTAACTGATACACAGGACTCTGAACCCTTAGGCTTTCAGTGTAAGTTCTGGAACTCAACCTAGGAAGAAAGTCAATGACATGGTGGCCACCTGTTCTGAGTAGAAGCAGAAAATTAGTTTGGGGCTTTGGGGTTACTGACCGAATCACCTGAACCCAGGCTGCACTGAGCTTTTTGCTGAATCAGCTGGCAAACAGCCTTAGGAGCAGATCCATAACTCAGCAAACGGAGGCAAAGTGTCACTCATCCTCCAGTAATTCAAAGCCAGTGTTTCTCAGAGACCAGAGAGAATGCGAGGTGCATCTCAGAGCTATGGCAAGTCTTTGGGAGACCAGTTTTTTTTAAAGCTCTCAGAATGCTTCCTATACTTTCGTGGTGGTCCCTGTCAGTTCAGGCTGCCATACCAGGCTGGGTTGCTTATAAACAACAGACACTGATTCCTCCCACTTGTGGCGGTTGCTGTCTAAGATCAGGGTGCCAGCATCAGACATTGGTGAGGGCTGTCTCCTTCATTGCTGCCTGCCAGCTTCCTACTGTATTCTCATGTGGCAGAAGGAAGCAAAGAACTGCCCGGGACCTGGTTTATAAGGATGGATCCCATCCTTGAAGTCTCCACTCTTGTGATGTGGCTGCCTCCCAAAGGCCACACCTTCCAACATCTTGCATCGTGTATTCGGAGATGGGGGAGAAGCGTTCGGTTGTAACAGTGTTCCTGGGCTGGGCTTGTAAGTCAGTTGTGAGCACTTCCCTAGCGTCTGAGGCCAAGTTTGATCTCCAGAACCAACACAGCATAGCCCCGCTTCTTTTCCTTGCCTTCCGGCTTTACCTTGTGTGACAAGCCTTGCTGTTTTCAGTGAGGCAATAAGAGTGCCATTGTGCTAAATGCTGGGCACTGTGCCAGGTGCTTTGCATATCTTTGAAAACAACCCTTTCACCAGCTCTGGGAGTGGGTGTGAATTTTATACGGGTTTGGAGTTCAGGAAGCTGGAGCTTAAGAGGTCGGGTGCTGTGGCCAAGGTCTCATAGCAAGACAGGAGAAGCCTGGTTCTGGATGAAGGTGTCAGAGCTAGTGCAGTGGCCACAGCCAGTGTCCTCACAGCCGGTCTTCATGCAGCTCCATGCAAGCTATGAATATAGGTGGAAAGTGGGTTGCTGGGGACCTCAGCCCCACCCACTGGGCCTCTGACTGTCCTCCAGGCCCACTACAAGAGCTCTCTAGTGTCACTTAAATGTGTGCATATATTGGAAATAACAGACTTTGCAAACAGGCAAAATGATTATGTAACTTGCCTCGCTGAGTGTGTGACCTGGGCCAGGCCACTTTTATCTTTCTCTGCCTCAGTTGGTTCATCTATAAAATGGGTACTCGGCCTGCTTTGTAGAGCTGTGGGGTAACATAACACATGCGTGTGTCACATGGAGACCAATGGCTGGATTTGTGGGGGAAGTCCACTTGCCACAACTTGCCATGCGGGTATCTGGGCTCCGTCTCCGCTGTCAGCGCTGGGAATATCCCTTTGCTCTTGTGCATCCCCAGCTGCCGCAGAATAAGGCAGCCTTGAATGCATGCGGACGTTCACGACCATGGTGCACAGGCTGTTTAATGTGTAGAGACATGTTTCTGCATGTGCACACATGGCACTGGCTGTGGAAAACTTTCTTACTCAATACTTCTCATACCAGATAGTATGCTTTCCACAACTAGCACGATTTAGTCTGACTCTGACTGTTTCTACCCAGTGGAAGGTTCAGGCCACACAAGGTCTTCTGTTCCAGATGACAATCACAGATAATGGTCACATGGTTACTCATACTTTTGTTTGACTTGGGGATCCCACTTTGCTGTAGTGACTCACAGAGTTCAGGGAAACAACTTGCTTGTGTTTACTCTATTATTAACACACACACACACACACACACACACACAGTCTCTTTTTTTCCAAGACAGGCTTTCTCTGTGTAGCCCTGGCTGTCCTGGAACTAGCTTTTTAGCCCAAGCTGGCCTTGAACTTGTTATTATAACTGTTAATGCTGGCATAAAGAATGTGACAAAGCATCAGATTAGCACATAGAAATCTGCAAGGTGCAGTTAGAGGCCCTGAGCATGGGCTCTTTTGTTGTTGTAGAATTGAGATGTGCCCCTCCCAGACTCTCAGCTCTCAGTCTGTAGAGGTGCCATTGCACACCCATTCAAAGCACTGGGCTTTGGTGTTCAGTTCAGTCTCTAGCTCTGGTTGAGTGGGACTGAAGGTTCTCATCTTCTGTTCCGAGCTTTCTGTGTCTGGGCCTTCTGAGCACCAGCCCTTTTCCTGAAGCTGTTTAGAGTCTCAGCATATACAAGGATGCTTATTTCAGAAACCCTGGAGGTTCTAGGTGTTCCTTATCAAGAAACAAAAGGTGACCCCCACACTCTATTTGATACCTGTCTGTCACCTGTCACCAGGGAAGTAACAAATTTAAGCATCTGCCAGGAGCTTGGAACAAAGACCAAGTATATACTTCCTCTGATGTCACAATGTCATAGCAGCGATATAAAAAAACCAGAGTGTCATTAAGGGAAACTCATTGAGTTGTGGAGGTTGAAATCCTGACTCACGCTTGCCTGTGAAGCCTTAGGCTAATTACACTGTCTTTCTTTCTGAGCCTGGTTCTCCTCATCTATGAGGTGAGAAAGGCAGTTCCTGCCGTGCAGAATTACTGCAAGGAAAGGAAAAGGGATGTATGCTGGCATAGGGTGAGGAAATAAAGGTTAGATTTTATTGTCAATAAAATGTGGCCCTTTTTATGAAGTTGAAAGTTTCTTATGAAAAATGGGAAACCACTTTAGCCAAGTGCTTCCTGCTTTGCTCCCCGCTGTCTCGGGGATGCCACTCTGGGGTCAGCTGTGGCTCGTTCTGTGATTCACGGCAGCTTCCTACCCTTGGAGACAGGAGTGGTCTGCCTGGATGTGATTACATCTTCTGGGAGCCTCGAGGATTGCACTTCGCAAATACTGGTTTACATTCTCATTAGGGTCCTGTGTCAGCTCCCTAGAAATGCCCTGAAGCTCTAGTATATCTCTGGGTCCCCTGACAAGAATGACTGTACCTTACAGGAGTGCTGCAATACCCTTTCCCGGGAC